AACCTTTTTGGGAGCGCTCTAAGATTTTTCTCAAAGTTCAGTAGCAATCCATCATGGGCCTAGAATTTTGGGGCAAAAGTATTCTTTCGACGAGTATTTGAGATCTAATTGAGCGTTCTCCATAGGAACCTCGCTGACAACGCCTCCTCCGATACCGCCACGATCGAGCCCCACTCCTTTGACGGATACTCGACGATCCAGCCCAGCACAGTCAGTGGATCTGATGTCAAGAAAGATCAGTATCAGTTCTGCTGCCAGCACTAAACGAGCCGGAACTTCCACCGACAGTGTGAATGTCATCGAACCGACTAAACCACCGGTAAGCACTACAGTTTGGAATATGGTTACGTAGCCTTCATCCAAACGGTCCGTTTGGATACAGTAACCCTCTAGTAACCGTTTGCCTGAGCTATGTTATAATGAAAGATCATTTCAACTCCAAGGGCCTTCAAGCTAAATGCAGATACGCTAAGCTATCAGCCATGATAATCTTAAAAGCTGGTGAAAAGCGCTGTTCGGCTTGGAGGGGGCATTCTGCCTTCTCGCTAGCTCCTTTGCGCGACCTGTACACTCTTGTCAGATCTAGACAAGGCTCCTCTATTGCATAGTTTTACAGGGCTCCACAGCAAGCATCGGCACTGATAGAGGAGAGTCAGCAAAACGGCCCCACCAAGCCGAACTGCCCTTTGGATGTGGTACTGGTGAAGTGCCAGTCTCAGGCCACTCAACCATTCGTGTTGAACAATATTTTACTTTTACAGTGGGGTTGAGGCTATGAACCCCCCGGTAAAGTTGAGCCCTTAAGTGGTGTTGAGGACAGTAAAGCAGCTGGAGTCAACAGTACCTTTAGTTTTTTTAGCAACGAGGGCTCAAACCACTGGTTACAACGGTGTGCCCGAGTCACAAAAGTTCTGACAGATGACCAAACCTCAGCGTAGCCCCTAGCGAGGCACATGAGCCAAGAATAACTAGGTCGTAGCCCAATTCCTGATAGGGCAGTCGAAGGGGCGTGGGATGGTGTGCAGCCAGAGCTGCCTTTCCCACCAATCGCTACGAAGCAGGATGACATCATTGGTTGAAAAGGCTCTTTGGCAGCGCTCAGTACATGCCACACGCCTTATCGTTCGCAGGAATCATGACTGCGAGCAGTTGCCACAGTTCATTGCCCATCAGACCCAGAGTGTTCATATAGTATCGCTTGCTATTCCTGTAGCCTAGAACTACGAATGAATTGAAAATTTAATTTTCAGCCTCCACGGACAGATTCGCCGACGGCTTCGTTCATGAGTTCACCTGACGATGATTCAAGTACGATCACCTTTTGAAATCGTTCACAAAAGATCCCATCACTGCGTCACTTGTCATTCCCATCACTGAACATCCTTCAATCACACTTCTCCTTCACTTGCTCAAAAACCACAGATTCACGTTTCCTCTCTAACCCTCCAAATGCCTGAAATGAAAATCTTGAGAGGGTCCTACCTTTTTCGCTTATCGATTTTTCATTTTGTTGAAGATTTTTGTTGAAGATTGAAGATTTTTTCGCATGCACGGTTAATTTTGTATGATGATACCCTTTTTGAGAATTAGTGAAAGGGCGCAGTACAGTCCCATGTGTGAAAGGGAAATTGTAATACATTGGTGGGGGCTAAGGACAAGAGTTGTACACTTTGAAAAGGAACATTACAGCCAAGGAAAGTGGAGCGAGGTGTGGGTAGTTTCCTACCGTTGGGGATCTTCCTAAGCTGCGTTCGTACTTCGCGGCAGCGTCCACCAGCGCCTATCAGCGTTCACAGCGACCACTGGCGAGCGTCCGGCAGCGTCAGCGACTGGGAAAGTATATGTTAAGATAAGATAAGATAAGGTGTAGATCTAGCGTCTGCCAGCATCTCCCAGCGTCCACTAGCGTCCGGGAGAGGAGAGTATGGCGCGATAGGAAGGGTGGCAGGCAGCTGATAGAGTGTGGGGAGATAGGATGGTGGCAGACTGCTGGTAGGGAGTATGGCGCGATAGGAGGTCATCAGCTGTCTACCACCGCCTATCGCGCCACATTCTCCTTTCCCGGACGCTGGTAGACGCTAGAGGACGCTAGATCCATACCTATACTTCCCTAGCCCTCGAGGCGCTGGTGCACGTCGTTAGACGCTGGAACACGCAGGTAGACGCTGGAGGAAGCGGCAGAGCTGGCAGACGCTAGATCTACATCTATACTTTCTTAGCTCCGGGCTACGCTGGTGAACGTGTTGGTCGCTTGGGAATGCTGGCGCAAAGTATGCACACATGCACTTACGCCCATGAATGCATTTCGGGAGACCCAAGTCGCAGCTAAAGCGGTTTCACATGCACCTGCGTTGTGCGAAGATCTAATTGATTTAGTATGGAATTCGCGCATATAAGTTCTAGCAAAAGAGAGGTACTACAGTGCAGTTCTCAGGGAACCGTGGGGGCGGTCCTAAGGCCACGCTGGCGAGCGGCCCGATAGTTGCCTGTTGGTGGAAAGCCGCAAAAACCTTGCCTCTGCGTCTCTGATACTGACTCTGCGCTCTAACACACGCCGCCGCACAATCTACCACTCTTCCGTTCTGGACTCTCGCCGATCGATAATTGCTCTCGATCAGCTGATTCCTGCCGCATTTTCGCAGTATTTTTGCTAGATTCAGCTTGTTAAAGCTGAAATTTTTCGAATTTGACTTCAATGTTCGAAGGTGAGTATTTACTGAAATAATATCACAAATTTGCATGAATTTAGCATTGAATTGGAAAAAATTGAAATTGGGAATTTTAGCATGGAAAAGCGAACCATTAAGGCAACTTCGAGCTTCAAAAAAGTGTCAGAGATGGTTCTCGATAATAACGAGATCACATCTGAGACACTGCTTTGAAAACTCGGTCAATAACATAAAAGAATGAGGACATTCAAGAAAAGTTTGGAGAGATTGCGAACATCAGAAGGAAAAACAAGTTTTCTGGGGAATTTTTATGCTATCATGCAAAATGTGATATTTCAGTAAGAGTACTCACCTTCGAACATTGAAGTCGAAAGTCGAAAAATTTCAGCTTTAACAAGCTGAATCTAGCAAAAATGCTGCGAAAATGCGGCAGGAATCAGCTGATCGAGAGCGTCAGCAATTATCGATCGGTAAGAGTCCAGAGCGGAAGAGTGAGTAGACGGTGCGGCGGCGTGTGTTAGAGCGCAGAGTCAGCATCAGAGACGGAGAGGCAATGATGATAATCTCCTAAAAGTTTTCGCCTTTCCATCGACACGCAATCACCGAAACGCTCGCCAGCGTGGTCGTAGGGAACGCCCCACCGTCCGGTGAGCGCTCCACTGTAAGCTATCTGTACGCGCTATCGCGACGCAGACCCTTCCCTCAAACCTTTTCACGGGGCTTCCCCAAACCATGATGTGCTCTCGTAAGGGGTGGCTAATCGTGTGTTGAATGTCTTTGTGTTCAGTTGCTTTGCTAAAACATTCTAAGATTTATCTATATTGTTTTCTTTGGCCAGTGTGATATACCCCTCAACACATCGCGTCCATTTGTTCTGATTCTGACTCTTCCTAAACTCTTAAGTGCAGTGGGCACTTAAAGGCAGTGGGCACGATGGCTGGGGTGGGTAGTTACTCCAACGTCATTGGTGGAACGGCCGACTGAGGCCTGTCAAATGCCCTCTCGCAGCCCTTCCATCAGTGACGTTGGCAGTAACCGCCCGTCCACGACCATCGTGCCTACTGTCTTTGACTGTCCAAGAAACTATTTTTGCTCTTATCTCAACTCTTGCCCAGCTACAACTCTTGCCCTCCCGTTTAAAAAACCGCAAGTCAATTTCCCCCCACTGGTAACATCCTTCTTTCCCCAATGACTCCGACACTCGCACCTCATCCCTGAGAGAGGCATGAAGCTCGCTACGGATTCCAAGTGTACTGCTTGCTGCCCACAAAGAAAGCTCTAACTTTTTGGAATGAGGCGAGGAATTCGAAGCTATGTTTGTGTCATTTGCTATTTTGAGGAGGCGGAGGGGGAGGGGGTAGTATTCAAGCCACTTTCCTACCGCGACTAGGGCGATTCAGCTGCTCAGTTTACGACCGACCGCGCTCCGCCGCTAATCGTTGGACCGCTGCAACTGCTGATTCAATTATGCTCAAGCTCGAAACATTTCTCGGCCTTTTGCAGCAGTCCAAGGACTGGCAGTGGAGCAGGGTTCAAACTGAGCCAATAGTAGAGCAGGGTTCAGACGAAAGGGCTGAATCACTCTAGTCGCGAAGTATGAACGCGAAGTAGCACCGCATTTTCTTCGCGTGCGGCGAGTCGGCTGTTTGTGCTCTGAACGCTTCTGGTACCCCATCCGGTTACTTACCCCTTCCTTCTGAGATGGCGATTCCTTTCACGACTGAACACAAACGAGTTTCTCCTTGAAATTTTTAGGACATTGGTTTTGCACCCGCTCCCGGCCAGAACGCTTCATGCCTCCTCTCACCCTTTCCTACACCCTCAACACCCTCACATCCATCTCACACTTCTACCGTATTACCCTCCAAGCATCAGCTTTTCGCCGTTTCCGCTTGCTTCTGTAACGATTTTTTTTCATTTTTCATTTTCCCTTTTGAACTACGATTCCTGAAGCGTTCCGTTTCAACAGTACACCGGCTGGCCAACGTCGTCTGTTCAGAGTCGCGCACGCGTCGTCGTGCGATTATCACACGCTTCGATTCGTCACCGAAGCCGCCAGTGTCGTCGCAGACGACGACGCCTGCGACCACAGAGGGATCTCTCGCGGACGAATGCACACCTCCGGCAACGACGACGCACAACTCTCCAGAAGACGGCTCCGCCAAATCCATCACGGATACGCGACCCGGTTCGGCAGTTCGACGTCGCATGCCTTCTACGTTGCTATCGTGCTTCCTTCCGACTCATCACCGTAGGCTTCAGTTTCAGTTTCATTTACAAAAAAAAACGAAACCCCCGAAGTCAACGGTAGTCGAAAGTGAAGAGGAGATTTTTGCATGGCTGTTGTGATGTGATTGTGAACAAAAAGCATGATTATCTCTGATTTTTTTGGGATGAATTTGCAAAGATTCGGTGCCAGCATGATGCACCACCTCACCTTAACTAAACACTCTCCTTTTCTCCTTTCACTGTCTATCTAGTGTTTTCTCGGGTAGAACATCACGGTGCTCTCATGGGGCTTTTATTCAGGTACTCTTGGATCGATACAGTTCACGGTGCTGTACAATCTGGAAGAGAAGAAGCTCACAGTGCATTTGATCCGGGCAAAGGTGAGTGAAAGCCATACAAAGGTGTTTTTGGCTCAACTACCCACATAGTACCAAGAGGACCTCCTCCCACCCTTCGCTGAGGATCCCAGCGTACGACGCGGCCTCCTGCCCGCGGCCTCCTTTCCACTTGGATTTAGACAATGGGCAGGAAGGCCACGTCGTACGCTGGGATCCTCAGCGAGGAGTGGGAGGGGTCTTTTGGTCGCTGGAGGAAGGAGGTCGTATTTCCCAAAATTATTCCCCAACGGCAGGTCTTTGCCTGATCGGCGATAAGCAGATGGACAACAACTCTTGGCCGACATCTAACTCACTGATGCACTCCTCCCGTTTACCGTATCAAAAAGAGGGCCTACAAGTGGTGTCTTTATCCAATTCCCTGCACACTATCTGTCTATCGCGGAATGTCTTTAAGTGACATGGGGCTAACTTAGTGTCCATATTTCTAATCCACCCGAAATCCACCCGAGACACAAGAAAAGGGCGCAGTTCGGCTTGGTGGGGCCACCGGATGGTACTCAGCTAGGTTAGTAGAGACTACCTTGTGGAGACCTGTAAATTCCTGTGTGACCAAAGTGGCTCAGTCGTATCATTTCGCAGTTTCACAAAACTTTACAGATCTCACCAAAATGAGACCTGTTATTTAAATAAAAAAACTTGCAAAAGTGCAAAGTGCACCCTCTAAGCCGAACAGCCGAAAAAAAATTACTATGAACAATGGGGCGAGGTTATCAAGGGCGAAGTTTAACGTCAGTCCATGTGTAAGGATGAGAAGTGAAAAAACGACGAGAAATAACAGGGCATAAATTTGAATTGGGCGTGGTTTCCTGGGGCGGGATCAAGGCGTTTCAGTATAAAAAACATGTATAAATCTGGTTTGAAAAAGTATCGAAGTGCTCTCGGGCAGAGTCAAGCGTTTCGGTGCCCAAAATGCTCCATCCATCTGTCTGTATGTGTAAATACTAGACTGAAAAAAATGGGGAATATGCTTAAAAAAGTCATATAAAAATTGGGGTTATCGGAGGCTTGGTTAAGAGTGTGCCCCCAATAAACAATTTGAAAGAATGAGCCGGGGCAGTATTGTCGAACACATCGTTCTTTTTTGATTATTTGCAATGCACGATTGAACATAACATTTTCAAAGATTCTTAGACTCGCTTGCCTTTCATATCAGCATTATTATTCCGTAATTACAGAATCTGAAAGCGATGGACAGTAATGGCTTCTCGGATCCGTACGTCAAGTTGCATCTGTTACCAGGCAACGCCAAAGCCACGAAATTGACGTCGAGAACGATCGAAAAAACATTGAATCCTGAATGGAACGAAGAGCTTCACTATTACGGCGTCACAGAGACTGATAAACAGAAGAAAACGCTGTAATAATAAAACTTGACGAAATGCTGCCTTGATTACTGTAGAAATTGTGAATATTGCAGGCGGATCACGGTACTGGATCGGGATCGTATCGGTTCGGATTTTCTCGGTGAAACTCGAATTGCATTGAGGAAACTGCCAATAAATACGCCAAAGAAGTTCAACCTCTATCTCGAGCATGCCATCCCGGTTCGTTTGCCTATACATTGTTTCTTGGAAATTGATTGCAAAAGCCGGTGGGAGAAGGGGGTGGGAGGGGGAGAGAGTGCGGAGAAAGTCACGCTGCCGCATTTCCACCCCCCCCCCTCCTGCCCTCCCTTCACAGCTGTATTTGATATCGTCGCAATCAGTTCAGGCGGTGTCAGAAGCGATGGGATGAGCCCCCCTCCCCCCCTTATTAGCATTTTCAACCAATAGTGACAGGTTAGTGGTCGGTTCAGGAGGAAAACAACCAAGAAAACGCTGCTGCCAATCTCATTCTTTGTGTCCTGACACTGTCAGGATTGTCTGCGACGACATCAGTAGTACAGTAAGGCCAACGTGTCCTGGATATTTCCCAGAGTCTTGCCCTTTCATGAAAATTTCCGGGCAATTTTGCTGGTAGTGGTTACCGAGTAACGCTAAAAATGACGTCACTTTCAGATTCCACAACCTCGCCAAGAAACTGATGCAATACGCGGTAAACTCCTACTTGCGCTACAGTACAATATCCAGCAAGGTGAGTTACTGTCCTCAGTAGGTATTTCAAGAGGCTCACATTGTGGCGACGGGCCAAAAAAAAAGGGCGTCAGAAGTTGTCGCGTCGCCGCAGAGTGGATCTCCTGGCCGAAACCCTCTTCACTGCGGAGAAAGCATATAGGATTACTACGTAGTATTTTGTTTGGTGCTAGTTATATTAAAATTAGTAAATGGCTTTTCTCAGGCTCACTATTCGTGACTATCAAACGTTGCGCAGAATTAATAGGAATGGATTCAACGGGATTCTCCGATCCTTACTGTAAAGTGTAAGTTGCCATCATTCTTCTTGATCACTGAACCTATTAAATTCTTTATTCAGACTTACTGAACATAAAAAACATCAAGCTTATTATAATTTAAATAGTTTCTTTTCCGAAGTACAATAGTTGTAGTGTTATAGCAATACGTAGTTAAATTAACTACTATTTTGTTTGTTAGTTATAGCATTAGTTAAATTAACCACTATTTTCTGAAGTGCAATAATAATACAGTCTCCTTAAATTTGACGTTGTTTCCATGCCATTATGCAATCTCATCGCTTTGTCCTGCCAAAAACATCGCCGTGACATACACTTTCAAGCAGATCTAGGGATACTCCAATCTATGCTGCTTAAATCTGCTTCTAATTTTAAATTTCAGTTCGCTCACACCTGTCACCTCTAAAGCTCACCGACAACGAACCTCCATCAAGAAGAGGACCCTCAATCCTGAATTCAACGAGGTTCATCTCCAATTGCTTCTTTTGTATTTTTTTTCGTGGGGCTGTTTTTCAAATTGATTCTCAATTCTATTATTCAGACACTCACTTTCATCGTCCCGTTCAAGGACTTACCCAAGAAAACGCTTCAGGTCGGCGTTTACGACCACGATCTCGGGAAACATGATGACTATATCGGTAAGACTAGCACATATTTGGGCGCAAGTCCGCGGAAGAAGGGCGATTCTGTCATGAACTAGCCAGCTCAGCCGCTTATGTCGCGCGCGGCGAGTCGCGCGACAATTTCAAGGTTGTGTCACTATAGGTTGTCGTTTTAGCAAAGGATTCCCGCAAGTTCGCGGCATACTTGACCAACATTCGGCAAAAGGACTATCTGCGATCTAGCTAACAATTTGAGCGACTGTGGGACAACACAACTCGTACGCAACGGCCGCGGCGTCGCCAGCCACGCCCACCCGCGCGACGACCTTGCCGTGTTTCGCGATTGAATCGCCACATAGCTAACGTCCGCTATAGAGCATAGTAGGGGGAGCGGCATTTTAGAAATTCCTGCCATATGCTGCACAGGGTGAAAATGTTGCCATTCCGTAGTTCCACAAGAGTCTACAGGACTACGCAGGGTACAGGGAGGGTTTACAGTTCATAAGCGTTAGAGTATCCCCCGTGTGCGGACTAGCGCTCATATTTGTCTCTGCTGGTGCGAAATCTCAATTGGTACCTGTTACAGGAGGAATCGTCTTGTCGACAGCAGCGAAAGACGAACGAGGTAAGCAATGGAGCAGCTGTATAGAGAATCCTGGTCAAACGTTCGAATCGTGGCATCAACTCGAACTGGACTTAGTTCAACGATTTCTCGCAGGCTGCAGTGCCGGTGGTGCTTCATTTCCGATGTCTCAATATTTCTCTATTCAGATGTGATCATTCTAAATATGTCGGGTCTTCCATGCTCATTCTTGTTGACATGGACATATGTCTAGTCATTCTGTTCATATTCTCTTTTTTTGCCATTTCATTCGGATAGACGAAATGGACAATCAATAACCTTATTCAGTTCACTTTTCGGGTTTTACATTCGTATCATGATGTGCACCCTTAGAACAGAGATTTATTCAAAGGTATTAGAGATGAA